TCACAGCACTTTCTGCAATTGAAGAGAAGTAATGACACATTACTTTGCACCTTTCTTTCACACCGTTCTCTTTAACTGAAGGTGCTGTCCTATTTCCCATGCCAACATCTACTTATCCCTGAAGTCTGGACTAAGGTATAGCCAAAGGAGATCTAGTTGACCATCATACGTCTCAACTCCTTCTCTGAACTCTGGCACATTAAAACTAATCTTTGGAACTTGTCTGCCTTATTTGATTTTAGATTCAGCCCTGGTGGGGTAGCTCAGTTAAAGTATCATTCTGACATGCATGCCAAGCTTGCTGAGTTCGATCCCAGGTCAGGGCAAAGCAACCAATGAATGCATAAATGGAACAACAAATCGATCTCTCTCTAAAAAAATAAATAAATATAATAAATCAGATTCAGCCATTCTCCTTATCTAGACTGATTCCTCTCTAATCTTTGTGCATATCAGCCGAAGTAATTAAGTGTCCCATCGTTAAAGAAGCACAGGCCAAAGGAAGATTACATTGACTAGGTTTCTGGAGCACCTAGCTGCATAGCTGATAGAGTAAGTCATTTTAAAGACACCTAATAGCAACTGACACTCAAATTGGCCAAGGAATGTTATAATACAGCTTTTTATAGAAAGAATGAAGTTATCTCTAACACTAGACCTTAAAGTGAACTGACTATATCCCTTTTATTTATAATTACTGCTGAGAATAGAGAAGGAGCTAGGCTTTGCTTTGGGTGTTGGAACTCACCTATAACCTGGCAGCGGGTGCCATTGTAGAGCTGGTAACCTTGAGTACACCCACAGGAGTAAGAGCCTGGTGTATTATGACACAGCTGGTCACAAGGACTGTATGCCATAGAGCACTCATCTATATCTAATGACAGAGAGCTAAAAGTTAGAGAATGCCTATGAAACCACTTGAGTATTTTTGTTCATTTGGGCCACTTTTCAGATGCTCATTGCACATATATTATGTGGAAGTCACTGTGCCAGGTAATAGACAGTCCCTATCTCTATAGAATTCACATGTAAATGAATCTAATTCAGCAGAAACATCAATATAGGGAGCTAGATGTTTGGTTGATACAGAATACTGATCTATGTTACCCTAGCAACATTCTTGGCTGGGGATGTGTCACTTGTCAGGCCAGCCAGAACTTAATTCAGAATGACAAGTGTTGGGACCTACTGTGCCATGGGACATCTCATCCAAAATGATGGAAAAGGCTTACGCCTCACAGGTATAACTGGCAGAATTTAAATTAGGTACAACTATTTCCTCAAAGCCAGATGGCAGGACCCCTTTAGAGTATGAGTCATAGGACTAGGAGAGATTTTTTTTTTTTTAAGCAAGAAGGAATTCCTTGAGTGCATTGCCAGGGAAAATTATTTCTCCAAAACCACAGGGTCCTAAAGTAGAATAATGCCTTCCTAGCCCGAGGAAGAATGATCAATATATGACTACAAGTCAAGCTCAGTGGCTAACCAAGCACTACAATGAGCCATAACCCAAGAAGGAGGCTGCAGTAGTCTGGGCATGTGTGCAAAACCCAGACCCCTCCAAGGTCATGACCAGATACAGACTTCATACTTCTAATGGAAGATTAATAAATTTAGTTGTCTTATTTAGAATAGGCTCATTGCAATTCTTAATGAATTCTTAATATAAAAGTATTTGTTGAATATAACTCTGATGCTGTCTAATAAACCAGGGCCTTTCTTCTTATATCTTTTCTACCTAAGTGGGTAGGACTGCAGGTGGAATCCATGAAGAGAGAGGGAGCTATTGTACAAGGGTCATTGACCTGGTTCAGGGTGGCAGGGCTGATCTACCCTTTAGGACAAAACATCAAGACAACAAATCTTCGACCCTCCTCATCACATTTTAGCCTAAAATATTATCCTACATTTTTATGGACAAGAGCTGCAAAGTAACAGCCATAACTTTTTCAGATTACTAGTGAATTGTGAATATACATGACATTTATTTTAGTCATTCTGGCATCATAATCCCATTTTACAAAGGGGGAAAATGAGACTTGAAGGACTAGGTACTTAGAGAAGGTCAGCTAGGAGGAACAAGAAAGGATAAACACAAAATGGGCTCTCACTTCAGACTCTGTCCTGCTGCCCATGCCATAGACCTTAGGCATGGCCATGAGTGACAAGTATTATCTATTCTATGGCAAAAATCCTTAAGTCCCATAAAAGAAAGATGTTAAATTCAACATTTTTCTATTAGTCAACAATTCCCACAAAAAGAGGATGATGACGAGCATTGGCAAAAATAGAGAAATTGAAACCCTGGTGCATTGCTGGTGAGAATGTCAAACAGTACAGTCACTGTGGAAAACAACTTGATAGTCCCTCCAAAAGTGAAGTTAAATCCAGAATTTACCATATAATCCAGCAGTTCCATTTCTGGTATACACTAAGGAGATTTGGAAACAGGGACTCAAACAGATACCTGTATACCAATGTTCATAACAGCATTATCCACAGCAGCCAAAAGGTGAAAACAACCCAAGAGTCAATAGACAGATGAGTAGATAAAAACAAACAAGGGAGTATTCGTCCTTAAAAAAAAATTCTGATACATACTACAACATGGATGAACTTTAAAGACATGCTGTGTGAAATAAGCCAGACACAATAGGAAAAATATTGTATGATTCCACTTATATGTTATGCTAGAATATAAGCAAATTCATAGAGACAGAAAGTCCAGTGAGGTTATCAGGGGATTGGAAAGGGAGTTTGAGGAGTGATCGTGTAATGGGTACAGTTTCTATTGGGGATGATGGAAAGTTCTGGAAATGGATATTGGGAATGGTTACACAACACTGTGAGTGTACTTGATGCCACTGAATTGTACACTTAAAAATGATTAAAATGATAAATTTTATGTTATGTGTATTTTAAACAATAAAAACTTCTTTTAAAAAGATGAGCTGAATGAATCTGACCTCCACAGCTCTGACCATCCGGCTGCAGTTGCCATCCGGTTCCACAGGAACAGCGGACACCCCAGCTGGCATCGCTGCACTGCCCCTCACAGCCCCCGTTGGCCAGAGAGCAGCTTTTACCTGGTGGAGACAGGACAGTGATCAGTACAGCTGAACGCAGTAAAGAGCAAACATTTTATAAACCACATGTGTCATAACCCTCTACTTGTATGAGGACTGGATACTGGTTAAGAATAACTTTTCTCCTTGACCACTTGCCCAGGAATGTGGAGGCAGTGGGGCAAGGCTGTAGAAAAGGGAAAGTTAGGAATCAGGAATCAGGGCAAAGAGTTTCTTTCTAGGCAGATGGGCCGGACAATTTCAAGTGTTGGCATACTGTCCACCCACGGAGGGGCCAGCAGCCTCTTCTCTATTTTCTCTAGGCTTTGTGGGCAACCAGAAGCCCTTACCTTAGGAATGATATAAAAATGTACTAACCCCAGTGAATGCCTACACAGGGCCAGAAGCCTGTATTTGTTCCACTGTTTATGTTCTTAGTATCTTTGTTCCTTTAGTAAAAAGCTTCATTTGTAGCCTCTAACAGTACTAAAGTGGTTTCATTGTCCAGGTCTGAGACAAGATTTGGGGAGAGGGGTGGAGAATATGAGAAAAATGACAAAGTGACCTGGAGGCAGATGCCCACACTCTCTCTGCCCGACTCAAAGCAGCAGTGATAAGCACAGGTTTAAAGACCAGAGCTGCGTGCTCAGTAGCTCCTCCCCTGGGAAGGGCCTTCCCCAGTCTTTTCTTTGTTAAATCCTTGGAGAATTGGCCATTTTGTCTTGAACAAACTCAGGTAGCATTTGCTCGCACTCAGGAGACCACAGCCAAGGAGAGAAACTTGTAAAATGGAAGGGATCCATCGCTGAAGGATAATTGCTTGTGTCAGAGTTTCAGCCCCAGCGTTCTCTCAGAGAGTGGACCCCCGATGATGACGAAGGCACTGATCCTTTCATCTCAGTCTCCCCTCTCTCTTATAAAGCCAAGCAATTGGTTTCTCACCACATGTAGTGGGCTCATCAGTTCTGTCAGCACAGTCTGCTTCCCCATCACACACCAGGGATTCCAGGATGCATTTCCCTTTATCACAGCCAACCATGCCTTCTGGGCAGGAAGCTGTGAAGGAAGGTAGGCATTCTTGTTCACTGATAATTGTGGGGGAGTAGAAATAGAGAACGCTTACACTGGGTAAGATGGCAACATGCCTACAACCCAAAGCAAGTCTAGGTAGAAAATAAAGTTTCCTTTTTTAAGCAAAGTTTCCAGGGAATTGGGGCTTAAGACTCAATAAGAAAGATTGTTAAGACTTCTGGGCATCAGATTGAAATAGTATTAAAACTGAACTGAACTAGTAGTAAACACTCCTAATTAAAACGGAATTAAAGCCAGTCAACACTAGCCCTAAAAGATATATGCTCTTAAGAAACCAGGTTCATACCTTATTATAGAAATGTTAGAATCTGAATATATTCGGTACTGCAGATTTAGCTCTAGAAAGGAAAGATGGAATGGGATTGAGGTTTCCCGAGAAGTTGGAGGCTCCACCACATTGTGCATGTGGTCTATGAAAAAGACTATGGCTCCCAGCAAGTGCTTTGGGGGTTTTCCCCTTTAATGAGGGTTTTTCTCTTCCATAATTTACTACACAGGATGGGGCTCTGGGAATTGGCCATAATTGAATCATGGAAACATAGGCAATGCTTTGAGTGCCCACTGCAGAGTTACTGTTCAAGTACGGCTCTACTAGTATGTTTCTAGGGGCAACTACATCTAGGTTATTGCTAGGAAACATCCTGTTTTTAGATATGGGATTTTAGTATCAGTCACAGGAATTAAAACACAATATACAGAAAGAAGCCCCCCTGGAACAACCTTCCCTTTAAGCAAAAGTGGGATAGCAAGGCTCACCGCAGATGTCCTCGTCCGAAGAGTCACCACAGTCGTTGATGCCGTCACACGTCCGGGTCTCCATGACACACACCTTGTTCTTGCACTGCCACTGCCCGGCCAGGCAATGGTCCCGGGGGCAGTGTGCTTGGTCAGACCCGACTGCACAGTCCTCGGGGCCATCACAGAGTTCCCAAGCATCACGGCACTCAGAGCTTCCTGGACACCGGACTTTTTGGTCTGGACATGCTGTCAATCTCTCTAAAGGCAGGGGTTGGCTCTGTGAGACAGCACTGCTGCACTGCGGCCTTGTTTATTTAGGGATATATGCCTTGCTCATGGGCTTTGTTTATAGAAAACCAAGAGTCAAAATGGATGTTCATCATTGGAGATTTGGCCACAGCTTTGTATATTAAAGTTTCACCCCAAAGAAGTTAGACAAAAAAACCAATAAGTCTAATAATCTTTTTTTATTTTAGGTGATTTTGAAAAATGAAGAAGTGGGTAAAAAGTCACCTGTAACACTAGAGACAAATTAACATCTGGGTTTAGCGCATATGGTGTAAGGCTATTTAGTGACTTGCTTGTTCCACCCAATACTATGGATATCAATCAATGATGTGAATAAACAAAGAATATGACTGAAGATAAGACCTAGTTGTACCTACCACAGTCAACCTCATCAGAGCCATCTAAGCAGTCCCCAACACCATCACAAAGCCAGCTGAGAGATATGCACTTCCCATCATCACACTGCCAGGCTCCGGGATGTCCACGGCATATTTCCTCTGTGGGCCCAAGGAGGTGTTTAAGAAGGGGCAGGAGAGAAGAGGTATTTTGTCAGGACACTAAATCTGTGCTTCATCTTAACTATTTCCATCAGCTGGAAAAATCAACTCCTGGTTTGTCATTGGAGTTAACCCCAAACTTTCCTGCTATAGTCATGTGACCCCTGATGATGTCACTGTGCCCTTACCTTACCGGGGGACTGTCCCCTAGCTGGTTAATAAAGCATTCCTCCCATCATTCTTCCAGAACACTGATGTCCAGTATAACTTTCTGTGACAATGGAAGCCTTTTATATCTGTGCTGTCCAGAATGATGGCCATTAGTCACATGTGGCTATTGAGCACTTAAAATATGGCTAGGATGACAAAAGAACTGAATTTTATTTTATTTATTTAAATAAATGTAAATCATCACAGGTGGCTAATGGTCAGCTTTTATAGGTTGACTTCTTTGAACTCCTTTGACATTTGAGACTATATTAAAATCTAAGACATCATGTGAACTGTTTGTTTTTTATTTAATTAGACCCTTAAACATTTCCACCTAAGTATGCCTACTGGCAGAAGCTAATATATATATCCTATATAATAAAAGGCTAATATGCAAATCGACGAAACGGCAGAACAACCAGTCACTATGACGTGCACTGACCACCAGGGGACAGATGCTCAACTCAGGAGATGGCCCCTGGTGGTCAGTGCACCCACAGGGGGAGCGCTACTCAGCCAAAAGCTGGTGAATGCAGCGGTTGTGGTAGGAGCCTCTCCCGCCTCCGCTGCAGCGTTAAGGACCCCTTGGAGGATGTCCCCATGGGGAATGGACCTAAACTGGCAGTCAGACATCCCCCAAGGGGTCCCAGACTACAAGAGGGTGCAGGATGGGCTGAGGGACCCGTCCCCTCCCCCCCTCCCCCGTGCACAAATGTCGTGCACCGGGCCTCTAAAATATATATATATAAACTGGGGAACTGGGTGAAGTGTATGGGAGGTATAGCACAGAGCATTTCTACAAGTATAATTTTTATTTTAACCTGTAATATTACTCATTTTGATATCAAAGGTTTTGTGTTAAATTATTACAGTAATTAACCACCAGAAATGTGTGCATGGGGAATAGCAAAGGAATGTAACCCTCACCAAGTACTTTGGGGGGAGGTTTGCTCTTTTAAGGAGGAATTTTCTCCCTCCATATTCACTGCACAGGTTGTGAGGCATCTGTTAGGAGGCTCTCCTTGTACACAGTTGCACATGTGTCCCTTCTGGGGCTTTGAGCACTTTCAGCACAGAAGTTTTTGGGCCTTATTTCAGCAAGACATTTACCACGTGGTTAATTGGACTTCCATGATGTTGTAGCTTTCTTTGTATTTATTTTGCAAAGTTGTTTTTTAGTTGTATAAAATTTCTAAGCACATAAAAGTTGAACTAATTTATCATATGTAAAAGTAAATGTGAACGCTCTCCCTCCTGGGAACATGCCCACACTGTTCTTCCCCACAGCCATGCATCTCTTAAACGCTAAGGGTCCCCATGAGACTTGCAATCAGGGGAGCAATGGGTAGTGGCAGCTCATCCCAGGCAAACCCCCTGAACTTGTCCCCAAGAATCCCTTTTCTCTGACTTCCCAGTGAGTTAAGGCAGCCCCGCCTAGGGTCATTTCTTCCCAATAACATTTTTAGAGAACCAAGCAGCCCCACCTTGGCTCTCCCCTATAGCGTCTTCTCTCCTAGGCCCTGCCTTATTTCACTGTCCCCAGCTTCAAATAAATGTACCCTGAATGTAAAAATAATTTTTAAAAGTAATTGTGGACAATAGGATTGGCAAGGGTTTCCAGTTTGAGTAACTGCCACAGTTGTGTAAGCCTGAATTTAAGGTAAGGAACCAGATTTTTGCTGGATTTTCCATCTTAGCTAGCCTTCTGTTTATTTTGATAACAGTGGTCTCAGCCCTTAAAGAGACATCCCTGGCTTTACCTGCTGAAAGCCTGCAACAACCCAGAATACCCAATGTTTGCAAATACCCACTAAGAGGGTAAAACTATGAGAACTGACAGCGTCATTGTTGGCCAGGTATGTAATAGTAAGGGCCAGACATGGACAGGTGCGTGACCCAATAGAGCAGTGGTTCTCAACCTTCTGGCCCTTTAAATACAGTTCCTCATGTTGTGACCCAACCATAAAATTATTTTCATTGCTACTTCATAACTGTAATGTTGCTACTGTTATGAATCGTAATGTAAATATCTGATATTCAGGATGGTCTTAGGCGGCCCCTGTGAAAGTGTCATTTGACCACCAAAGGGGTCGCGACCCACAGGTTGAGAACCGCTGCAATAGAGGAAGGTGCTTACCACACTGCTCATCGGTCCCATCGGGGCACTCTCGCTCTCCATTGCAGAGCCAGGCCACAGGAATACATCTGTCACCACATGCAGCTTGCCTCGTCATGTTACACTGTGCTTCATCTGCATTGGGCGACCAAGAAACAAAACCATGAGGTCCTGGCTTCCTCGGGTACAAGAGAGCACCTCTTCATGATAAGCTGCAGTCAAAGGAGGTCTTGGAAAATCTTTCTTCAGCTAATACCTAGGACAATAGGGGGTTCAGTACCCTAACACCCACATGAGTTTAACAGTGTTGATCCTTGGGAACCATGTTTCTGGTTTTTAGGTGTTATTGCTGAATACTGCCATTTGCCTCCCTGTTTTCCTATTAGATTGGGGTGGATTTACACTTATTTAAAGAGATACGGATATTTCCAGCTCTGGTTCCATCTTAAAGACTCAGAGTATGAATAGTTGCAAGTTTAGAGGTCTAGGCTTAAAGTACCTGACTCTAACTTACTTTTAGACCTGTGCAGATAGATATATCTTTTTTTAAATTAAATTTTTATTGTTGAAAGTATTGCATATGTCCTCTTTTTCCCCCCATTGACCCCTATCTAGCCTGCTCCCAACCCCCACCCCAGGTCTTCACCACCCTATTGTCTGTGTCCATGGTTATGCATATATGCATGCAAGTTCCTGGTTGATCTCTTCACGCCCACCTCCAC